TTATTGCCTACTCCTTTCTACTTTGAGAATTCTAATTATATGAATCTAAGTTTCTTGGTTTTGACACAGTGAACTATTATGACTGATCTGTAAATTCTTTCTTCATTTTTTATTTTGGACAGTTTTTATTGTTATATTCATTTATGTTTGTAAATAATTTATTTTCAATTTGCAATCTATTAAAAAATAAAAAAATTAAATTATAAAAAAATGCTCATGATAGTTTATTTGAAACACCCCAAGTCAGAAACAGCCAACATGCTGTGGATATTCACAACTAAGCTATTAAAAGCAATGAACAGTAGTAAGTAAAATAAACAAAACAGAAGAATTCCAAAAACATTATGCTGAGTTAAAAAGCCTATGCAAATAAAGAATATAGTGCATGACTTCATTTGCATTATGTTATGTTCAACAAGGAAGGGTGGAACTGGACAGAAACTTCTTGGGGTGCTAATGTTCATATATGGCTAGAAATTCAGATTGTATAACTACATCTGTCAGAATTCAGAGTACATACACTTATAATCTGTACATGGCATAAATTTTTATCTGAAAAAACTCAAATCAAAAATAAATCCTAGGGCTGGCCAGATAGCTCAGTGGATTAAAGTGCCTGCTTAGGCAGAGTACAGCTGCTGGGTCGATCCCTAGCACACCATGCCAGCCCCAGTCCCCCAGGGCGCGCTGAGACTGCAATTGAGACTAGGTGTGGTGGTGTGCAACTCTAATCCCAGCACTTGGGAGGCTGAACACAGAATCACTACGAGTCCAATCTACATAATGAGACCCTGTAGGCCCTGTCCTAAATACATTCAAAAATAAATTCTATTAAAGAATTATGTTTGTTAAAATGATACAATGAAACTACTTTATAAGAAAATTAAATTCAGCAATTTTTGGAAAAGTTATGATCTAAATCTAGTATATAAAAAGCAGTGTTAACACTTCTGTTACTATATATCTATATGGTTTGCTGTTTCACAACCTTCACATTTAAAAGAGCAAATTTAACATGAAGTCCTAACAATTGATTTTAACAAAAATGTACTCCCACTCCTTTCTATTCTCATTGCTTACTATTAATTCTTAACATTTACTAGCACAACAAAAACACATCTGTTTCTTGTCTTCTCACCACTAGAATATAAACTCCAAGATATAGGCCTCTTCTTGTTTTCTGTATGTTCATAGCCTAGGACAATGTCTGATCTATAACTCATATTCAGTATTTATTGAATAAGCAAATGAATGAACATAGCCAAAAATGTGAATTATATCCAGAGTGAGCACTATAAAGGGCTTTGTGTAAACATTCTTGAACACATATTCCAATATTCCACTCAACTGTAATCAACTTGTGATTTCAAGTAAATTTTAATGGAAAAGTATCTGGGCTGAAAGGAATGGACAAAAAAATACACAAATGGTTATCTCCCCTATTCCCTCACTGCTCTCCTTTTCTGGTCTGTGCCCCAGTGAGTGCTGCAATCCATTCACCTCACATGCCCAGGCCTCGCTCCAGGCCTCACTGGATACTGACTCAGCAAGGAAGAGAGACTGATCTGCTAAGTTGGATTTTATTAAAATGAGTGAAATCTCTGAGGGAGCCCATGTTCTTGTCAAATTCTTGTTTTTTTTAAGGGAGACCACCAAGGGCCAGGGAGATAGCTCAGTAGAATGAGCACTTGCCTGGCAAGTACAAGGTCCTGAGTTCAATCTCTGGTACCACAAAAACAAACAATCAAAGGAGACTGCCAGGTCTTGACTTCTCAGGGCCACCTACAATTACCTGGGCTGTGTAAGGTGGATCTACAGGTCAGATTCCTATAGACAGCCTAAGTAGATGCAGGGCAGAAAGTTTCAGGCCTAGGTATAGTTGTGACCCTAAGAACCATGAACAGACAACCAAGTATCCATGCACACTGGCACAGATTAAAAAAGTTACACTAATATCCCATTTAAACTAAAAAAACTTGACTATAAGAACGACGGTGGAATTATGAACTCCTGTGTTAGGAAAAATGTAAAAGAAAAAGCCAAAAATAATGTAATACTTCATTGGTTCTAAATAACTTATTTTAATGAATGTCTTTAATACAAGAATAAAACAATATTCCTCCATTTCAACTACAGTTAAATTCAAATTTTAAAACTGGCGAAAACACGTTAACCTGGAAAAGCTTTTAATATGAATATCAAATACAGAACTCAATTTAAAGCTGTCACAATATTAAACATCAACTTCTTAGCATTCCAAGTTTATTACAAATACACCCCCCAACCCCGCCTGTTTTTACTTGCGTTACCTGCTGGTGTTTATATGTTAAAATTTTAAAAATAACTTTCAATTTGAATATGACTTGAGTTAATTCTAACCCATTCAAAAATACCTGATACAGGTAGTAGGTGGTCTCGGTATAAGAAAATATGTCACAAGGTTTTAATGTCAAAACTGTATTTTTGAATAAAATAAAGCAAGAAAATATAACATTTAGTACTCTTTCCTGTTTCTTTACTGCCAGTAACAAGCCAGATTTAATGTCATTATTCTTCATTCAAACAGACAGCCATCTGAGGCCTCAGTTTTTTCTGCATTAGCTGATTACAAACGTAATGTGCAAATGTGCAAAGACAGTGCTCATTAAAGACAAGTATTTACACATTATTAATAATATGTGTGTAGATTAAGACATAAATCATAACAAGTTAGCAAAAGTTTTCAAACATAAAAATCAGCCACTAGAAAGGAGCTACAAAAGGAAATTATTACACAGAGATAACACTCTTGTTGAATCATTAACATTAAGATGACTACCACTAAGCCACAAGTGATGGTACAAACCTATAATCCCACGACTCTGGGAGGCTGAAGCAGGAGGCTCAAAAGCCCAAACCCAGCCAGGACAATTCAGTGACTTAGTGAAATGCTGTCTCAAAATAAAAAATCATAAGATGGTTAGAGATGTTGCTCAGTTTTATAAGCTCTGAGTTCAATCCCCAGTAACACACACACACACACACACACACACACACACACAAATAATCACCATCAATGTATTCAGACCAATTAAGGCCAGAAAGAACAAGTAAAATGTGAAAAACACTTTCTCCTACAATTGAAACAAATGTTTTGAGAGAGAAAAAGAAAATGCTAACCTCCAAAAGTGAAAATCATAAAAATATGGAGTTAGTACTTATTAAAGTACACCCATACACAATAAACAGCAGTTTTTAAAACAAAGGCATGAATAAACTTCACATTGTGGCTCATACTAATACTATGAATACTCATACTAACACAGTTCTCACTGAAAAGTACCACTAGCAGTAAATTTCAGTTTGGTGCTATCTTGACTTCAGAACACTATGAGTATACCCTTTTCCAAGACAGTGAGAGGTTCCTGTGTTCAGCAGCTTACCCCTGTATAGCCCAGTCTCCAGCAATCATACAAGGGAAAAGTAAAGGGATGAATAGAAATGTGGTCATTTAGAGAGGATACAGAGAAAGAGCCAAGATAATTATGGATAATTATCCATTTAATGTTGATAAAATTAAACTTACATAACAAATATGATCTAGCAATTTATTTTCCTTTAAATACGAACCACTTTAGGAAATGTTTACTGCTGTCTGTGCTCAAAATTATGTTTTCCATAACTAAGAATTATAATGGTAATATGAAACAGAAGTTTAATACCAGTGAATAAAGCTCCAATAGATTCAAATTTTTTAATACTTTGAAAATACCTATTTTTTTAAGTTTTAGGCTTTGTAATTTTGCCATAGTAGCTATACTTTTTCTAGATCTAAATAAAAGTCTACTTCTTTTATTATACAACTATTCAAATAATCATAAGAGCTGGGCACATTGGTAATATGAGCTACTCAGGAGACCCAAGCAGGAGGTTTACATGTTTAAAAGTAACCTGGACAACTTAATGAGACCCTGTTTCAAAATTTAAAAGGTAAAAAAATGTTAAGGGCTAGGGCTATAACTGAGAGTACCCATGAGCTCGATCCTTAGTACTGCAAAATTTGTAATAATAGTTACGAGAATTTTTAATATCAGAAAAATAAATTCACCTGATACACACTTAACTCAAAATTACAATCAAGAAAATGGTAGTCTCCCTGAAATAGAAAGAATCTCTTTCTTTTTGTCACTATTTCTTATATATAATCTTTATTTCACATCATTTACATAGAAATATTACCACAATCCGATAGCAAGAAAAAATAATTCTGGCTTCTAGAGTTCATCAAATATATTTATCCAGTCTTCTTAGCATGCTTCTTCTTAACACTCTCCGAAGCACCAGCTGTAGGTTTGGAGGCCGATGAACCAGTGCCATTGGAAGATGGTTTGGTTTCACTCTTCTTTTCACACCATGAAAATTGTTTCTGCCAACCGAACAGCACCCGACTCAGTGTATCCTCAAAAGGAGCAAGGGTCACAGAAGAAGTCTCTGTCACCATCATGGTTATCTGGGAGGAAAAAGTTCAGTTTTGAATTTAAATACAAATGTTTTCCTTTCTGTTTCTCAAAGCTGAGAGAGAAAAGTAAACAAAAAGAATTCAAAATGTATTCTTACTTTAATTTGTAAGACACGCAACTAAACTAGATTCTGAAAAAATCTCATCTCCATGGAAAAGAACATAACACATTAAAAATAATACAAGGTACCATTCTGCGGGACGCCAAATGAGCAATATAACCATTTCCACAAAAACAGTACTCAAAGGAAATAACATATTATCTACAGCTTACACCAACAACCAATACAACTACCATTTCTATGTATTTAACATGTTACACAACCTTACACTGTCACTCTCCTTTAACTTAACCCAACAACTATTTTTCTATTACTTTCATCATAGGAATTTGGAACCAAGACTCTGAAAGGTTAAGCATCTTGCCCCAAATCTCAAAGCTAATAAGTGGTTAAGTAATTTGCAGCACCCAGATTTTTTTTTTTTCTACAGTTTTATTGATAAACATATAGCAATGAGACAGTTTCAAATCAAATCGGAAGTACAGTTTCAACAAATAATACACTGCATATATTATTCTTAGTGGTT